AGAGAGAGAGAGAGACGCTTACACTGGTAGCCCGCAGCCCCTGAGACTGTGAAATCCGAAGAGTAGGGGGATTAGCGAGAGAAAGAGGGAGGGGATAAATCCTTCCGTGAAAATATAGGGTTTGATTAATGGCGGGAATCTGGGAAAGAATGGCGGGGCGATTGGCAGAGATGCAGAGACGGGGATGACGGTGTGCTGCCGCAAACCAAAACATCTTTCCTTATCTCTCTCTCTCTACACCAACTCTCCAGCGCCTAAAAGTCCCAACCTCTCTCTCTCTCTAAACACGCGCAAAGAGCCAAATATTATAGGAAACACAATCACCAACGTCCATCTTAAAAATCCATCGGCCTAAACTACATATAACGGTGTATGACATATATGTGTCTGACTCATGGAAACTCCATCAAAAATTATAAGGTCTCCCTAAGATGGACTCACACTCATATCTACATGTGTGTCCCCTCTTAATGACCAGATTTTCGACTTAATATCTAACGGGAGTGGTTGCAACCTTAACCAATCAAATTAAGGTGCTCCTCCAAAGTTTGTCCCGAGATATAATTTTGGTGTTTGAAAATTCGTAAGAGGGTACGAGAATTTAATTCGTTTTTTAATTATAAAATTTTAAACTAAAAAAATAGTTTGAATCAAGCTGATCTATAAAAGCATAAAATTTCTTGAAAATGGAAAGTCCATATCATGTGTTGCAAGATGTAATGTTTTTAAGACTTTGAAATCTCTTTTTTTTTCTCATAATTATACATCTTGATGCCAAGGTAATCGATTAGATATTTTTTCAAACACCTAAACAACCTTTTTAGAAATATTTTATAGGTGTACTCGAATTCTACATTTAATGTGTCAACTTTAAAATGTTGAGTAATCTTATCTTAAAAAGGTGTCAACTTTATATATATTAATATTCATATATATATATATATATATATATATATATTTATATAAATTCATTATCAAATACAGCATTCAAAACTTTCTTAACATTCCATAAGATTATCAAACACAATACTCATAACTTATTTAAACTTTCCAAAACATAGCATTCCATTTTCCAAGAAAAAATAACCTTTTTTTTTTCAACAAACGTTTATCTTCCATAAAACAAAACGTTCCTAAAAATATAATTTTTCTCGCTAAAAAGCATTAATTACCTCTCTCTCTCTCTTAAGTACAAATAGTCCTAAATGCTGGGTATCTTTATCTTTAAAACATTAGATCACTCACTAAACCCCGATCTTGCCTTATATCCACTTTAGTGATCAGTAAACCCCGATATTGCGTAAACCAAAATACGCTTCCACTTTAGTGAGGTTCACACCCCTTCCTCTCTCCAAGTACCATCCGACAGTTCTTAATTGCGATCCAGCAATGTTTCCTTTGGATGCACTCTCCGGTCCAACAATTTGGTAACACGGTCCGGCCATTCTTAGTTGCAGTCCAACACTTTTTTAGAGTGATCCGACACTTTTCTAAGGCAATCCAGTATTCTTAGTTTCTATCCAGCTGTTTTTCTTCTGGATGCACTCCTATGGGGTCAACTTTTCCGGTGACAAATATGGCATATAACCTTGCTTATTTCCGTTTAAGGTTAGTTGCGAGATTGAGAAGGTTGCATTTGTAAAATTTCGGGCTGTACAAAAAATACTCAAAAACACACTCCTAAATAGGAGTCAACCCGAAGGAGTGATAGTACAATCATATAATCTTTTGGCGCATAATAAAAGAGTTGAAAAATACCCCACAGAAGTACTTCTAAGAATCTAGCCGAGTATGAATTTACAATCTTTCCCCACCTGTTCTAGTAAAGATAAAAAATATCATATAAGTTGCATGTCAACCTGCTTTCCCTCTCCCACCAACCCCATCATCTCTCTCTCTCATGCCCGGGCAGGGGGCCATGAGAGGGGCAGATAACTTATCACAAACCGAGCCTTCCGCGTGGTCTGATCTTACCCGATGGAGGCTTTGCCCCTGGCATCGCAATCATCTGCTTCTCTTTTTCTCTCTTCTCTTTCTCTCTTTCCTTATTCTCTCTCTCCTCTTGTGCTCTAACCCTCCTCAGCTCCTCCATCTCCTCCTCCATAGCACTCTTCTCTTCCTTCTGCCTCTTTTTGTGCTCCAACATTGAAGTATCCGAGTCCTTCACCGAAAAGAACATAGGGCCCAACTCAGCCAACCATTGAGGCTCCACACTAGTCACACATTGCATATACTCCTTGGTAGTTAGCACCAACTCATGGTACACCACGTAGTCAGGGGTGTATCCTAGTCCGTAGAGCGAGCTACTAGGGTGTAAATGACAAGGCATCCCAGTCCTACAATTCACATACTCTCCGACCCCTTTAAGCCTTGCCGCATTATGGAAATATGCGGAGCATATAGCTTTGCGCACCACATCCCAATCTGGACCACAGGAAGTGAGCTCTATCTTTTGCATTTTGAGGATATCAAGCAGTTGAGACCTCACCTCTCTTGCTTTCCTCAAGCCTTTAACATGCAAGAAATGGTCATTGCACCAATCTCCTCTATAATTGTTAGCCTTCCATTGTTGGTAAACATGTAGAAGCGTTAAATGATCCGATTCGGGCACAAAGAACTTCTCTCTAGCTGCATCGCTCTCTTCGGCCCTGTCCTTTGGCCGAAAAAACACAGAGGGCACAGAGAGCATAGAGACTATGGTTAGGACCTCATTAACGCATCTTAGTTTCTCTCCTATCAAGAGCATCTTAGCTAGTGGGGGATCTAATGGGAACTCCACCATTTTTCGACCGAGATCGGTGAGCCTCCCCACATTATCCAAAGCCCCCAAAACCCACAATTGGTACATAGAATTCAGTATGTTATCTTGTGGTGGGGGGTCCATGAAATCAAAATCAAGTAAGTTCTCAACATTAAGAGACTTGAGTAACAAAACCACATTGCCCAAATTGGTTCTTTGGATTTCAGGCACCGGATTTGGCAACATCTCGTTTTGATAGGCTGTCTCAGTATAGAGGCGATAACATGTACCTGGTCCTGTTCTTCCTGCTCGACCTGCTCTCTGATCAGCAGCCGCTCTGCTTGCTGGAAAAACTTGAAGAGCATCCATACCCATTCTTGGGTTATACACCTTCATTTTTCCATAACCAGTGTCAATAACATATAATATGCCATCAACGGTTAGAGAGGTTTCAGCTATGTTTGTCGCCACTATGCATTTTCGAGCACCACCTTCAGCTTTTTGGAATATCTTGGCTTGAAGGTCGGCTGGTAATTGAGAGTAGATAGGGAGGATAGAGAGATTGGAAATTCCTTTCTTTGTGGTGGAGACTAATTGCTCCATTCGCTCCGCTAGAGCATAGCATGTGGCCTCGATCTCATCTTGGCCTGTCATGAAGATGAGAATATCACCAGGAGGGGATGTGATATGGATGGTCATGGCTTGCTTCACTGCTGCTTCGATGTAGTCCTCACATGGTGTTTTGCTGTATAGGATGTTAACTGGGAATGTTCGGCCAGGTATATGAAAGATTGGCACACTGCAATAGGTAGCGCACAAAAGGTTTAGTCATAGAAAGGATGGAGATTGGCAAATTGCCATTGAATTGTATGATAACTGTATCTTTTTTTTTTTGAGGACATGATAAGTGTAACTTATTTATAGATGATTTGGAGATGACAGTGAGAGGAAGCCTGTGATATATCCTTGTCTTCTTTTGTTCTTGATAGAGAAAGATAAGGTCATAATACTTTGGTGGGCTAGGTGTGGTTTGAGAAAAGGAATGGTTAAGAGAGGGAAATATATTAGCAAGAGAGAAAGGATAAGATTTCTATTGTATCATGGTCACATTATAACTTTCGGATGGATCCTTTGCTGTTTAATTTGAAAGCAGAAATGCCTAAGCCTAAAGCGGAGTGACCGCTCTCTATCTCAATAATCCACCAACTGTTTTTGATGCTGCCACCGAAACATGGTGGCAATACATACTGATGCCATTTTCTGGTTTGGTCATCAACCTTTCTTGAGTTGATTATTAAACCTTGAGCCGCAATCAGGTCCTAACTAAAAAAAGATGTCTTTATAGGGTTCATTATTTTTTATAGTTGTTTATTATTTTTTATAGTTGTTTTACAAGAATCCCATACCTTCCAAAAAAGTTGGAGAATTTCTGTGCATTTAGCGTAGCAGATGTCACAATGAGCTTGAAATCACGACGTCTGGAGACCACTTGCTTCAGTATACCGAATAATACGTCTGTGCTCAATGATCTTTCATGTGCTTCATCCATGACAACGACCCTGCAAAAATATAAAATTCTTCAACTCAAAAAATAGTCTAAGGGTGAGGGCCTTAAACTTTCCCTTTAACCCGTCCCAAGCCTAGGTAAAGGAGGTGGGTTGTGTTAGATAGGCAGCCAACATAAAACTTTGCCAAAACTTTCATTAATCCTAAAATCAATGCTATCTGCTTATGCTACGACATCCCCATTAAGCGACGCACGGTACCGAAACCCGAGTATAGTGAGAAATGAGCAAGGGTTAGCTAGGGCGTTCCCCAGAAGCAACACGCCACAGTGCCGCCGAGTTGTAGCGAAAATAGGCAAGGGTTCCCGCGATATAGCTGACCTTAAATAGTTAAGAAAAGGCTCTAATGATGATGATGATGATGATGAAAAAATGAATCAATCAAAAGAATTGGAGCTCTTATACCTATAAGCCAACATTTTGCATATATTTTTTGTTAATCAAATATTTTGCTAATCAAATATCAGAGAAAACATTAGGGCCATAGCATTTATGGACAAGTAATTAAGATTCATTTTCAACTCAGAAAACTTACGGAGTTGACTTGGCTAGTTGCCAAGTTTTCTAACAGAAACTTTGGTTCAACCTGAGTCTTTCGTTTATGTGTGTATTTTGTATCGTTTTGTCATGTAAATGATACTTGGTGGAATGGTAGGAGTGTGGTATGGCTTCGTAACAAACTGGGTTAAAATCCCACCATGGATAATCATGCTCTTCTTAGCAAATTTTACAAAATATGAAAAACTCAGCCAAGTTTTTGGCTTCTTGCCAATGAACTGTTTAATTGGGTGAGTTGCCTCGGTTTGCACATTGGCTGAGTTGTCCAAGAATTTCATGGTCTTGAACATTGTTACGGACAATGGAGAAAAAGAGCATGATCAACATTGACGTCAACCTCTCTATGACCATCCAACATTTAATAAAGTGGTGATGGACCCAATGGATCACTGTTTTCATAGTGCATCTTATTGTAGTGGCATGCTTTCCTAAACCTTTTTACTGTTTCCATAGTACCCTTGTGTCTCTCATCTCTAACTTGATACACCTCATATATTCATGTAAGGAACTTCAAGCAAGAAAGTTCTCTTTTACTCAAAGGGAAAAAATAAGGGAAGTTGAAGCTTTCCATTTCCATGGTCTCTTGGTTTTGGTTCTATTCCAAGGAATGTATCTGTGCATGTGTATGTCTCAACCAGTATAGATTTTGAACTAGATTATCAATCAACCAGGTAAGATTTTAAGTTACTGACCATGGTTTTCAGTTACTATATTTGCTTATTTACTGCCCCAATACCCCTCAAATTACAGTAAGAGACTAGGGCTTACCTATATGTCTCCAGGTCAGGCTCCCTTAGAGTTTCACGTAGGAGTACTCCATCAGTCATGTACTGCAATAATGCCAAAAAAGAAAAGTAAATAACATCACGTGTGGGACAGTTTCAAGACAACGATATCTCTGGAAGCTCCAGATACAAATGGAGGGGTGACATTAAATAACTGAAGCCTCTTTTTCTCTTAAACACACATTCACATAAATAGAATAAAAAATTTCATAAGAAATGAGAATGATCATAACTGATTTCTTGTCTACCTTGATTACAGTATTTTTTCCTGTCACATCCTCAAAACGAATAGCATAACCAACTTTATCCCCCAATTCAGTCTCCATTTCTTCACTAACACGTTTGGCAACACTCATAGCTGCAACACGCCTTGGTTGAGTACAACCAATAATTCCACCTTGTGTGAATCCATCCTCATGCAGGTACTGCAACAAAATCTCATTTGTAAAGCTTCGCAAACCAAACAAATATTGAAAGCTAATTCTTCTAAGCAAATATAGAACACTGACATTCTTCTAGCTTCCGACACAGGATGGAAGCAAGAACCTCCCAACTTTTAGAATCTTTCATTAAATTATTTGAGATATTTAAAACAATAATACTTCTAAAGATTCATTCAATTAATAAGATACAGTTAACATTTTACAATAGTAATAAAAAAGAACCACCCAACTTATGGGGAAAATTAGAAGTACCTGTGTAAGTTGCGTCGTTTTGCCCGATCCAGTCTCACCAACGACAACAATTACCTGATTCTCACGAACTACCTGATGGACAATAAGTGAAGCAAATGATCAAATTCACAAACATGTAAAGCTTAGCACAATATAAGAATTTATGGGAGTTATACAATAGTCCCTTCTACTGTGGAAAAACCATCATCAATTGGGTCATCAGTATCCAGTAAATTATGGATGATAGAGAGGAAGTTGTACCCACCAAAGAAGTTACATCCTGTTCTAGTGGGTCCCTCTCTCTCCCCACCATCATCCATTTTTCTAGATGGTGATGACACATAGATCATAGTTATAGCACTATCACTTGAATTATTAGTATAAATTCCTATTTCAGAAAGAATGCTAGATTAACAATGAACAAGTTCAGTATATCAGGATGATCAATAATTTGCAAAATGTTGTATGTCTAATATAATATAAATTCTATATAAAGAAGAGGACAGGACCTGCAACAACTCTTCTCGAACAGAATAAATCGGAAGATATTGCCGTTGTTCCATTAGTGATTTGGTCTTTGCAAAATCACTCACTGCTTCACCTTTTTCTTTCATGTGTGATGCGAACTTTGCATCCTCCTTAAAATCAACTTCACCATGTTCCCCTACTTCAGCTGTATCTGCATCAATCTGGCATTTGAAATACATATGAAAAACCAAATCAGCATACCGCCTCACTTGCATAATAACAAGCAAAAATCAGTTACTAATAGTCAGGGTTCATTAACAAAAAAGGAGCCAAAGCAGAAGGTTTTCTCAAAGTGTTAACCTGCTCTGCAGATTTTTCAACCCCCAGAATATTGCCCAGCGCTGAACCTGCAAGTTCCCAAAAGCGCTGGCGCGATTTGTTCATACTCTGTTTTTCATGAATTTCTCTCACTAAAGCAGATCCCTTGCGTGATATGATGGCCATATCTGAAGTTGGATCCTTCACTGGCATTATGGGTTCTGCTTGCTTGGTGAAAACAACACGGCCATCCAAGAAAGGAGGCTTGGTATCTGCAATTACAAATTGGAAGACAAGGACAGCAACCAAGTTTTAGTCCAATACATCTTTTATATAGTTCAAATTAATATTTACACCTATAATCTTTATCAAAGGATTTCATAATATGGGAAAATATAATACAATCCAATGCATTATTTAAAAAACGGAGTCTATTTGGTCATCAACTTCCACCAAAAAGAGGCATTCTGATGGAGAGAGAATGGGATTGCATAGGCCCCAATGGCGGTTCCATTTCCTCCATCACCATCCATCGAATAATTGGAAGATGATGACACCAATTAATTATGGCGTTTCAACGTTTCATGGAATTGAAGTAAACCTTCTCATCACTGACCAACTGGCTAGCAGAGGCGGCTGTATTTGTGTACTTACCATGAACAAGAAGTATGACCTTCTTCTCGTCCTCATCCTCAAACTCAGTTTGCACCTCTGTTCCTCTAACAGCTCCAGACCTCAGAAGTTGGCGGTCCTCCCACTGTGCATTGTCTGCAGTCAGCTGTGACAACTTTTTGCTTTGGCTTAGACTCATTCGAGTTCCATCCTTCCGTATCTGCATTAAAAGGAACAATTTTCAATCTAATTACAGATATCAAACAAATTTGCAGGTGCAATGATTGCACGTAGAATTTCCAGAAAGAAGATGGTTATGCCATGATAATACGACTTTGGAAAATTTATCACTATCTGAAAATGAAGCACAAGATGCAAATAACTATTGGTTAATACTGCATGTTTCAACGAGGACACTTCCTCAGGAAAGAACTCTGATAGCCATGAAAAGTTTAACAATGATACTCTTTTTAATGTTGTTGACAAATTAATCAACTAGTTGCTGCTGTCAAACAAATGACCGTGAAAACAAATTCAGGCCTTGTGCTGCAGTAGATAACGATCTTCCTATGATACACCAAAAATATGCAGAATTTTGACTTGCATAGGCCTTTTAAAGCTAACATGACACAGAACTCTTTTTGAAATTTTTTACCTCCTTCCCTACAGTTATTTTATTAATTTGCAAATAAGAGATGCTACAGCTAAGGAGTGGAGCATTCATCATGGTGATCAGGTAACCACTGAAATATATTCAATACACAAATTGAAAGGCATGTACATATTCCATGAGACATCATTACAGTCATTAACATAGTTAATATAGTGCTGGGCATATCAAAGTTTGTTACAGATGCTACGTTCAATCTTTGTAATGATCATGAGTAAGAATTCCACTTAATGTGGGACTCATTGTATCCAAAGCTGCACACAACTTACCTGGTCTTAAAAACAGATAAATAACTTTGAAAAGTTCTCCAAAAAATCATTAAAATATGGCCTTGCCTTTTTTTCATTAAAACTGGTCAAGTGAGGGAGGTACATGCATGAGTTTAGAGTTTGCCTCATGAACCTTTAAATATTGAGTACCCACACACAACTTTCTTGTAGTTTTAACAAAAATCCGAAGCCAACACACCCATACAGATAGAGATTTCTAGCATATAAATTCAATCATACCAATCTTTTTGCTAACTCTGTTTCCTTCTTCTGAAAAGTAGCCTCATCGCCAAGAAATATAGATGAGCTATCAGCATCGAAAATTGCACCACTTTCTTCTCTATCATACCTACAAAATGAAAACATAGATGTTACCATCAATCACTAGTTCACTACTCGTATTATAATATTGGAAATTTATCAAGACACCCTAACATTCTACATATTTGCAATTATTTCAACTCAAGTTCATGTATTTTTTATGGGTATTTTGAAATTAAATTAAAAGTTATCGGTCATATCATCATCATCTACAGAGTCTTTTCCCAACTATTTGGGATCGGCTAATTCATGAAAAGTTTTGACAAAGTTTTACGTTGGTTGCCTACCTAACACAACCCACCTCCTTTACTAGGGTTTTGGGACGGGTCAAGAGAAAGTTTGAAGTCCTCACCCTCTTAGACCAAATTCAAAAGTTATTGATAAGGTGTTAAATTGCTCATCTCTCATGGGAATTTGATAAATTTCCCTTATAATATTAACCTGAACTTAGGTGGAGAGCAACTAGTTCAAAGCAATTTCATACAAATATAATAAATCACACAGGCGACTTACGAATAACTACAATATAACCCTTTTTTTCACTTGGCAGTAAAACAAAAGTGCTCCCCCCCACCCCACCTCTCTAC